CGGCCGGCTTAGGAACTAAATAGCCACGTTCATTTTCCGCATCGGTCAAAAAGTCACGTCCATTTTCTAAGATGGTTCATGTCCATGTTATATCCACAAGCGAAGCTATTTACGTCACGCGTTCTTGCCGTGCGTTAGACTGTTTGATTAACAGCAGCGTACAACAAAGAATCAAGCGTTTTTTAATCGATTTAGTACATTTCAATTAAAACTTTAAAATGATAATGCACGCTTATTTATTACGTTTTTTTAGTTTCGCCGACAAAAAATATCGAGGCAACTTGAAATTTAGAACAACTTCCAGTGGGACATTTGTTCCTCGCTATTGAAGGAAGATCTCTGGAAATTTTCAGATCGATTCATTGTAACACACAGAGAATTCTTTTTTTTCAGAGAAATTTTGAAGAAGTGAGTTTTTTCGCGTAGCATTTATTTTTGGATTTTCTTTAACTTTCCTAACTACAAACGCTCTTCTGAGGAATTTAATAATTTCATTCTACCACGGCCTGTTTTATTTTCTATTCGTCTTTCTTCTTCGTATCGTTTAATAACGTATCGCACCGTCGAATAACTTTTGCAAACAATACTTCCAATTTCTCTTAAAGATTTACCATTTTTTCAATAAAAAATAATTAATTTCCTAACTTCTAGATTTGTTTCTTTGCTTTTTCTGCCCATGATAATGATTTATTGAAACGAGAAGTTATAAATGGAAATCGATGCTTACTGAATGCTTTTCTATGTTATACTGACTATCTTAAGCAACAATCAGAAACAAATACCCATTGAAGTTTGTAGACTGCATTTGTTTTCGTCGGTTCGTCGGTAACGTGAGCGAATAATTTTGTGACGTGAAAACGTGTAAAGAATTGTTATGACCTGTTTTTCTGTAATTATAAACCACAATGTTTCAAATTTTTTTTACGATTCTGTTATATTGAACTGCAAATTATGTATTTCCAAATTAAAAAATTTCAAAAAGTCCTTTGTTGTCTCATTATTTCATTCATTTTTGTTGCATATTTTTATTTACCAATCTTTTATAAATAAGATATTCTTAAAATAATTTTTGACAATATTTGATTTATAAAGGATTGGTAAATACACAATTTTTAAAAAGGGTAATTTTTAAGACAGTCATATTTTAAAAAATAAACAAGTATTCGATCCGACCAATATAGTTTCAAATTTTATGACACGGTTTTTTTTAATTGATATACAATATTTGTTTTAGAAGAAATTAAAGTCTTCCAGAACAAGCATATAAAATTTTGTGTATGTGTAGTGTTAAAAATATAGAATTAAATTTTAAAACTTAATTGTTAAATGAAACTTTGTGCGGTACACAATTTGCACACTTGTATGCACGCGCGCGCGCGCACGCACACGCACACAAAATTATAAAAGTAATTTATTAAAATAATTTAAATGTACATTTTCGAATTACAGGTTATTGAAAAAAACTTATCTTTTGCTAAATAAACTGTAAATGTAAAAGTAAATGCCACAATACATGTATTTACAACACGTGTGT